TCAAGATATACCAGAAGTTCATCAAAGTGTTTCTGTAGACTTCTTATATTGAAGTGTACGATTCCCAAACCAACTGTCTCTCTGTCTGCCAGTTCCTGCATACAATCTTCAATATTTTCAAATAGTTTAGTATCAATATCTGCATTGTCTAATACATCTAGGAAATCGATCATGATATATACATAGTAAGACTAATAATTGAACTCCCTAAAAAATAAAATAAAATTCAATTCAATAAAATATAAGTTCAATAAAATAGATCAAATCCTGATAACAACAATATAAACAAAAAACAAAATTATTTGGTTAATTTAAAAAAAAAAGTTCCCCAAAGTGTTCCTTATTTCTTAGTATGGTTACTTTGTTGTCATTATTTATATAGATTTTCCCGTTCTCGGTCCATACATTTTTCAGTCCTAGCTTATCAATTGCTTCGTTTAACATTTTCACCCTATTGCCGGTCAGATCTTCACGAATAACGATGCCTGTTCCTTTGAGTTATTTCTTTTTAGCATAGATTAGTTGTTTTGTACTATATTCTTTTAACTTTAGGAAGATACCTCTATTTTTGTCTGCTTGCTTTTTTCCTACTCGATAACATAAAAGTATATCCGAATCCAACAAGTTTATTGATATTTTTTTGTTTAACGTGTTGATCACCTCTTCTCTGGTGTTTTCGTTTGATTTCTCTTTAAAACTAAAAATTCGTAAATTCGTTGACCTTGTGGCTTGATCTATTTGATCCATTTTATTTTCCATATCATCTTTGTCTACGTTTGCTTTTTTTATTTGTATTTCTAAATCTTGAATTTTATTTTCAAAATCTTTAAATGTTTTGTTATTATTTGCTTTAATCTCCGCCACTGAGTTTATAATATCCTTTAATTTACTATCAATCGTGTTTAAAATAGCTTGAGACACCTTTTTGGCGATATCGGTGATAAGCGAGTCGTTTTTTATTGACTTACTTATTGCTGCTGTTACTGACGATTCTATTTCATCACGTATTTCTCTTGTTAAAACCATTATTTTTATTTACATTTTTCAAACACTGAACGGTAGATTTTCACTTAATTGTTGTATCACGATTCCGAAAATTATTTAGTTGAATTAACCTGTTCTATCAGATTTAACATGGAGTTAATAACATTTTTCTAATGTGCGTTTTCTCTGTCATAAGTGTTAATATAATATTTTTCATTTATTACTTTTCATAAAAGTTTAATAACACATTTTTGTAATGTTTATTATTTCTTTTTAAAGCTATTTTGGTCTATTTTAAAGTTCATTTAATATTAACCCCTTGTAAATACACCCAAGAGGCGGAAACTAGTATTATATATGGTATGTTCTATTTTTTTCATTCTTCCTAGCTATATCTTTTGATATAATATTATTTATAATCTCTTTTGTATATTTTTGGATATTTACCCAAATAAGGTTTAAATACAGGAGAATATTTGGAAATAATACCTTAGTACTCTCAATTTGGAGCCAAGCTTCATTAAAATTATCTAAAGGATGTATACAAGACCATGTTATATATTCAAGAGTTTATTGTAAATTGCTGGGAAATTTGCTCGAAGAAAATTGTATCTAATATAGCAATAGTAGTGTTGTCTTTATCAGATGTTTAGATAATTCAGTGCATCAAATTATGACTCACTGAAATGTTGAGATTGGATGCGCCAGTCTGTTATAAAATGCAAATTCTATGGGCAGATGACAGCGTCTTAAAACTTTCTTCTATATTTTAATGAATTAATGAATCACAGTAGGAAATTGCAAAAGATAATTAATTAAAAATTCTTGAAAACAGATATAAAAAGCGATTAAAAATATAAATCTGTATATCATTAAATGCATAAACTAATTGATTTACATTTCCAGGAATTTATATTTACGTTAAATCATTAGCGATAATAAATATTTCATCGACACATATGTTTATTAAATTTATTTGTATAAACATTGTATATTATTGGTATAAATATAAGTGTATATTTTTATACATAATATGCAAAACAATCAGGCCAATCATTATCACTTTAAATAAATATGTAACGGTTTTTGTATAGAAATATTTTTTAACAAAAAAATACGTATACACGGTGTGCCTTCGGCAACGTTTAAAAATATTTTCAATTACACAAGGTGTCACAGGAAAGTGATACAATTAAAGTTATATTTTTTAAATGTGACACCCTGTATTTTATTGCATTTTTGAAATCTACAAAGAAAAATAGTGTAACTTTATTCAGCGTTTGTCATACCTATAGTCAATCTATATACAGTGTGTAACAGTCAAATGAAATAAATTACTGTGCATATTTATCAAAAAATCTCGAAACACGTCAATTTTAGGTTATAAAATGACATTCGGCAACGTGAAAACTTCATTTTTATCTTCAACGCCCCAAATTTGTTAACATAAAGTAGGGGCTTGTGAAACCTCATTTGAAAGGTCTCTTTAATATTCAAAAATGACACTAAAAAACTCCCTAAACAATTAATAACTAATAGAATTTCGTTCTTTCAATTTCAATTGCCTTTTTTGGCGGTATTAACAAAACAGAAGGTATCAACATTCTTCATAGTTGGCACTAACGCCTTAGTAACTTGCTGCGTGATTGTAACCGCATGATATTCATTGAATTTATTAACTACACATCAGAATAGTAGTTTGTGCAACAAGAGTGGATATGATGGCCATATCGCACGAAGACGATCGTTTGAAAAGATTAATGTTTGGGCTGGGATAGTTGGAAACCATGTCATGGGTGCTTTTTTCTTTGATGGCAATATGAATAGAGATAATTATTTTCAAAATAATGTCGTACCAAAACGTTGGTATATTTATATCCTGGTCAAGCAAACCCACAAGTCCCAGCCTGTGTCCCCAACCTTTTAAAGTAGAAATGTCTTTAATGGTTGACAAAAATTCCCTATTTCATGTATTTTAAAATTAAAATTCCCTGCTCTCTCCCAATGTTGCTAAAATAACAAAACTGTTAAATGGCACCATACTCTCACCCAAGTATAAACAAAAACAACGAACATATTGTTTTTTTTTTTAATTTATTGTAAAACAACAACAAAAAAAAGGAACTATAAAAAAGAAAATTATTGAAATTCCCAAAAAAAAAAAAATTAAATATATCTTCTAGAAAACACAAAAAAGATCAAAATATAGATCTTATGAGTAAAAAAAACACGGTTGAACGTATTATCTCAAAAATTTCCTTAATTCGATGATTTTATAAAAAAATCCTGTTTCCTTTTGGGTACCAAAATTCCCTAAAACAGGACAATTCCCTGCAGTTGGCAACACTGGTTCCAGCGAATTTGATATGCGATATGGTTCCAGCAGTGGAGCACCACTATATTACGAAAATAATGTCCGGCTGAACCTCGACCACATATTTCCAAATCGGTGAATAGGGAGGCAGAGATCATTAGAATGGCCAGCACGATCACCTGATCTTACGCCATTAACGATGTTTTTGTTATTTTTTTTTTTAATTATCTATTAGTAGTTAATTTACTTTTGTATTGTTAATTTGTGCAATAAATTTTAAAACTACATTATTTTTTAAATAGATAATGAAAAGATCTTTCAAACAAGGTATCACAAACCCCTATTTTCTTTTTACAAATTTGGGGATTTCAACTATTATTCGAAGGGGGTTGAAGGTACGGGTGAAAAATTCACGTTGTAGGATGTCATTTTATAATCTAAAATTGACGCGTTTCGTAATTTTTTTGTAAAGATGCACAGTAATTGAGCTACAAAATTTATTGCATTTGCCTGTTACACACTGTATAACATATATAAGTGTTTTCAATAATATGAGTTGTTAAAAATATTTTTTATTATTTTAAATTGATTTTTTTAGGGTAAATTTAGAATCTTTTGAACTGTAAGTTTAAATACTTTGAACTTTCCATACTTTTGGAAACACTAGAATATATCAAAAATGATAATACTCTAAATATAACAAAGTTACAGTATTTTTCTTTGTAGATTTCAAAAATGCAATAAAATACAAACTGTTCCATTTAAAAAACATAACTTTGAAATGTATCACTTTCTTGGAGTACTCTGTATAATGACATATTGCCTTTTCTGATATATATCTTGCCCCAAAAACAATTTAAAAAAGAATAGTTTTGGCTTTACAGACCGGACTTTTAATTTAGATCGAAAAACTCTTAAAGAAGTTATTTGTTTCAGTTTAATTTAAAATAAATACAATTTACTACCAATTCGTTGGTTTAATAAAAGTAATAACACAGTAATTTTTCTTACAGGGAGTTCAGGGCATCTAGGTAACTTCTTTATTAACATTTGTTTTTAAATTACTAATAAAAGTACACTCCAAAACATGCAGCTTTACTTTCTTGCTGTACACACACATTTATTTTATCACCTATTTTTTTATTCTAATGCTTTCCAAGTTTTGATTTGTATTTTTGATATCTTCAATCTAATCAATGTCATAATTCACATTTTCATAAATCTACGGTAGAAAGTTTCAAAATTATATTTCATATAAAAAAAGCGATATACATTGGTAGATAGATACCTACATTTCCTTTATTCTAAAAAATGAGTTTTCATTTCTCACAAACAATAAATTAAAAATTGAAGAGGAAGGTGGATGAAGGGGTTATGTTACAAATAACAGTTTTTGAGTAATTAACGATTTAATTAGATTCATTAGCATTTTAATCTTCAAAATCCGGTTTTATAAGTTGGTAAGAAGGATTATTAATTAGACATACTACCACATCACTAAAAAATCATTACATGACCCCTTCATCCACTTACCACTTCAATTTCAAAAACGGTTTTTGTGTGTTTTTGAAAAGCTAGTAGCATGCAAATACTGAAAGTTTTTCTATTGTATTCAGCTAGTGCATTTTGTTTGACTTAAGGATTTATTTTGAATAAAAAGTGTATTAATAATAATAAAAAAATTCGAATTCGTGAATTACAGGTTGGACCGGAAATCTTCCCGAGGGATGATATACGAAAATGAGGAACTCCGATTAAAAACGATAAACATAAATGCCGAAGTAGAAAGCAGTAAGTATCCTTCCTATATAGCTATTAGTAACTGGTGACATAAACTGTTTTTTTTTTTATTATTGACCTCGGGAAATTGATAAATATAATATTTAAAGACTACAAAAAATGGAGGAGGTTCTCAATCCGTTGGAATATATTTTGTATGTATGTTCAACCATAATTCTTTAACAAATTATTCGATTTCAATGATTCTTTTTTTGTTATAAAGGACATACTTCAAGGGTGGTCCCATATAAATTTGGTCAAGATCTAATAATTGGGTCCATGATAAAATCAGAAAACTCAATTTACAATGGTATCTGCACTATTTTGGAGTCGGTTTTTTAAAATTACTTTTATAACTTGTAATATAAATTAATTTTCACTTAAATATCGAATATAGCAAAGGTAATTGAAAAAATAATGAAAAAAAGACTCTGCAGTTTTCTATATAAGTATAATATTCTTTCAGATCGTCAATATGGCTTCCGAGAGGGCAAGTCTACAGAAGATGCTATTTACAAGCTAACTTTATTTATTTATGAATCACTAGATAAAACAATACCAACGATAAGCATTTTCCTTGACCTCTCGAAAGCCTTTGACACTGTCGCACCTGCAAGATTACTGGAAAAACTTCAAGATTACGGAAAAAAAGTAAGAGGCTTGATATCAAAGTTTAAGCATCTAAAGGATTACCTTACACTAAATCATCTTAAGTGCTCTATTTTTCACTTGTTGAGTCAATACTAAGCTATGGTGTACTAGGGTGGGGAGGAGTAGCAGATTGTCATTTAAATGATGTTCATGTCATCCAAAAGTGGATTTTAAAACTCATTTATAGGAAAGACATTATTTTTTCAAGCCGTCTATTATATAACGACCTAAATATTAAAGATATTAGACAATTATATTGTTTCAGAATCCTTTTATCCATAAAAAAGGTTAGAATTAAATTAATTCCAAACGAACGTATTTACTATACAAGACGGAACGAAGAAATATTCATTCCTAGATCCAGTAAAACTATAGGACAACGAAACACTAACTTTTTAGCGCCAAGATTATATAGTTTATTATCCTCAGAGATAAGAAATACATGCTCCTACAGGGCTTTTAAAATTAAACTAAAATCTTTATTTGAAAATGGAGGAGGAATAATGTTTAGTGAAGTGGTTAATAATTATTAATTATTTATTTATTTTACAATAATGAAAATGGCAACTAACGTCTTTAAAGTAAATTACATTTTCCGGTCTTTATTGTAACGTTTTACCCAAATTACGTCCTAATATCCCTAATGTTACTTTTTAACCGAATATGTCAAGTATTATTTTGCTTCTGATTGTGTCTTGTTCTCTACTGTGACGTTATATGTACACTAACTTGTATCATAAAACTTATTTTATTGTATCTACATTACATTCAAGTGAAATTTTTGACTTCTGTAATTTTTTTATGTTTATTCTGAATTACCCATTTTTTTTATGTGGTCTGTCATCTTATTTTTATCATTTGAAGCAGCATTGATTTTGACTTAGAATTTGTTTTTTAAATTTAAACTCCCCCCTTAATCATTCATTTTAAATCAGATTTTTTCAAAATCCTTCGTCTTCTCAAGAGCTTGTTTTTCCTAAAAAATTCATATTGATATTGATCGCTTTTCGCTTTTCATTTAGGATTTTTCTTAATTAAATTCTCCTTTAAACCACCCCATTTTAAATTAGATTTTTTTTACAATCAAGGGGCTTCTTCCCCTTACAGAGCTTGATTTTTGCTAAAAATTTCAAGTTGATATAATTTTTCGTGTTGAAATTAGTATTTTTTTGATATTTTAACTTCCCCCCCCCCCTCTTAACCCACCATTTTTATTCATTTTTTTCTGAATCAATAGGCTTTCTCCGTATAGAGTTTGATTTTTACTAAAAATTTTATGTTATTATCGCTTTTCGTTTTTAATTTAGGATTTTTTTAAAACCCCCTTTAATCCCCTCATTTTTTAAATTAGATTTTTCAAAATCAAAGGGCTTCTTCTCTTCAAGAGCTTGATTTTTGCTAAAAATTTCAAGTTGATATCATTTTTCTTATTTGAGTTAGGATTTTTTTAATATTCCAACCCCCTCTTAATCCCTCCCATTTTTTTTTTCAAAATCAAACTTCGTATACGGCTTAAAAAACCGATATCTGATGGTTGCATTTTGGACCATGCAGAACTTTTTATTAAGAATAATTTTTTCACAAAACCAGTTTTCCATATGGTTCCAACTTAGTGAGACATATTGTATACCCTTTTGTAATAATATTTAATTTTGTTCTACAGGATGTCTGTAAAAGGTCTTTACAAAAACATACCACATATTCCTTAGACCAAAATAAGTCGATTTAAGTAAAATTACCTTAGTACAAAGTTGCTTCGTTTGGGCTCCAGAGGGCCTTGAAGTAACAATTTTTAAATCGTTTTTCCCATATAAATTTAAAACGGCATATGCGATTTTGCTGAAATTTGGTATATTGGTAGAGTTTAATGTGGCAAAAAAAATTGTATTATTTGTCCGATAATAATACATAGGCGTAGAACTTGATTTTTTAAATAATTGCACCTTTAAAAATTCTACGCCAATGGAAGAAAAGGAGTTTGAGTATGAAATTTAGATTGCGCAACTCATTTACTTTACAAAAGGTACTCTTGATAAGACTCGATTACTCTCATGGTTTTCGCTAAATTTCTGTTTTAACAAGTTAGAGTGTATAGGTTTCACAAAAATATTTATTTACAACATAATTAAAATAGAGATTTTACAAAAATTGTTCAAAATGTTCACCATTTTTACGCATACAAAGATTTATACGTCGAAGAAAATTAAAATGTATCCTTTCCATAACTTCTTCTTCACCTCTAAGATTGTTTATTGAATCTTGAATACGTTGCCAGAGTTGTTCCCTGTAAACTGTGGATTTCAGATGTCCCCATAAAAAGTAATCCATCGGTGTTAGGTCTAAGGAACGTGGTGGCCAGTTTACAGGTGCGTCATTACCTCTGCCTATCCATTTGTGTGGATATTGTTCATTCAAGTGGTTTCTAACGTTTAAAGAAAAATGTGGTGGAGCTCTATCTTGCATAAACCACATATCTCTCCGAAGTTGGGAGAGGTAAATCTTCTAACAATTCTGGCAACGTATTTTGTAGAAAATTCCACACCTGTAATTTTGAACCAATCAAAATACGTGTTTTTGACAGATCACCATGGCAACGGAGGTATTTTAGTGGAAATTTTTTTCTCGTGGGGTACCCAACAGCGAATTATACTGGAAATTTTTTGACGTTTACAATAACAGACCATTTTTGACAGACTGGTTTTTATTTGTTCACATAATAGGTTTAGTTTTGATACATTTTAGTTACAATGCTAAGGTGTTTTCTATATTCTTCGGCCACTTCTTTTCTTCTTAATGGCGAAAATGCAGGACTTTGGATGCTTTGAATTATGTGTCTATGTCTAATAAAATATATATAATATTTAGACACTAATTTATTCACCTTTTTCCCATTCAGCACTTTGAATTTTGCGTAGTTTAGGTGCAAATATTCGTGGACAATTCGGAACAAATTTTCGTTTTTCAAGTTGGAGCCACAATCCTCTATTAATCCAAGTAAGTAAGTCATGGTGCAATGATTGATCATTACATCAGACAATTTCACGCATATTTTGCATAGCGTATGATTTTCAAATCGATTCATTTTTAAACAAATAGGTAATTTTGTTGGTTTTACTTGCTGTGCAATATTCTGTATCGCAACAAAACGCGAGTTATTTAATGTTTTGAACTATCAAAATACAATGATCACAGCCTCCTACGATTGATGCTTGCTGACGCTGGTTATGAATTTCATACCATTTTAAAGCGCTCATAACGCATGTTAATAAAAACGCAGAAAAACAATTTTCTACCACTTGTAGTTATTCAAAACTTACGTAAAATTAAAGAATATACTATTTTCTATTTTCAAATGGTATTCCCATGCAACTACAATGAGTAGAAATAAGCAATTTGAAGGCCTAAATAATTGCAGCGAAACATTTTTTTACGTCGGGCCGCTTGACAACTTCAAAACTGAAATTATATTCGAGGTTAGGGTCTCACTTAGTTACCATGACAACTCAACAATCAAGGCGACAACACCTTTTATGTTTGAAACGAGACAATTTACTTTTGAACATACTGTATCATGCAAAATATGATATCTAGCACGTTTAGGTCTGAGATGACAAATGTCATGAAATTGATTGTATCCATCAATTAAGAATTCGCTTCGATATTTTGTAAAGTATCTTTGAATTGTGACCACGGTAAGTTTCTTTTAGAATATAGAATAAACTTTACTTATATTATTGTTCTTTAGTTGAGGTGGTCTTATTCAAAGAAACTGTAAATATCTCCTACTTTTGCTTCTGCTGTGAGAGGGTAAGAAGGAGAGGAACAGTAGGTCAAAGGCGAACAGTAGGCTAAAGCCAGAACCACTGCACCATAGCCGTAAGTTAAGTTGTAAGAAGTTGTCCTAGATTGAGTCACTTGCCTTGTTACCAAGGATTGTCCAAAGCGCAGGATGTGCTCAATGTTCACAGTGGACATAACAGACAATTCTTCATAAATAATTCATAGAAAGATATATAATTGTTTTTTAGTTTATATTTGAGTAGTATCTATTAATTATTCTTTCGTTTAGATATTTTGAGTAGAATCTATTATATTTTTAGTTATAGGACTTTTTTTAGTTTTAGCTAGCTAGTTTACGTGGTTCAGAGAATAACTCCTCTGAAACATTATAATTCATTGTGTAAAGGGATTAATAATTAAAATAAAAATTGTTATTTGAAATCATCTTATTTCCCACGTTTAACTTTATTCCAAAATAACCCGAAGTAAGGGTATTGTTACATGTTTCACTGGTGACTTGGAGAAAATAATTTGCATTGTTGAGAAACGAAAAATAAATTTTAAAAATATTTAATTTTCAA